ATGAAATTGAGGTAGTCAACGTACTGCAGCGATAAGTAAGAGCATTCTTGGCTGAATAAATGGGACAAGACAGAATTAGTGGAACCTCAGTATTTCACGTAAATCTTATGATTTACTATTAATGTCTTCGGCACAGCCGTTCATAAAATAATTTTAATATATTCATTAAGGACAGCATTGGATTTAGCCGTGAAAATTTGTAAAATATCTTTAGCTTCTGTTGAAATGAAGAATATAATTACGATACTTGAAGTTAACCGCTCAAAGAACAATGTTATGGCTACGTGATAACAGTCGATAAGCACAGGCTAACGAAATCATGTGTACGTTATAACAGTCGTCAAAGTGTTAAGTGAATAACTTGATTAATATTCGTCAACTGTGAGGTCTAGATCAATACGTATGTTTATCTATTATTTAAAATATACATTTATCATATTACAATATTATGAGTTTACAGTTATATGCTTTACTTACGTACTAGTAAAAGGCTTAGACGAAATATAATTTTCATTTACGCGTTTACATTTATTTTTAATTGTTTCTTTAATTACTGAAAAATTCAATAATAAATTGATTCATTTACAATAACAATTTATATTCCGCTTTACTTAATTTTAAATAAAATAAAGACTTATTAGTCTGTAGAACTGTCAGCTTAATATTTGATAACAAGCTGAAATTATGTAATAATGTTAATTGTGATTTCAATATTAATTCAAAATAAGATTTAATTGCAAAATTTATTCCGTAATAAATAAATTTTACTTAGCATCAATCCCAGTTAAATGTTATATTACTCGAATTCAAATATAAGCCAGATTGAATATTAATTCTATTAAAATCTAGCTCAATCTTCTATAAATCTAATTGAAGGCTGATTAAAGTAAATTTTCCCAAAACTACGACATAAATGACACGTAATTTAAAAGATAACACACCAAAGTTCTAGTCAACTAAATAAATAATTAAGAACACCTACGAATGAGTTCTGTTACTCGAAACGCAAAAACGAATCAAAATCGTAGGCAAGAAGAGAGTGCCGTAATTTATCAGGCAAACATATCAAGAGCACAGAGTTCCTAACAGAATTATTAGGAAATTCATTCGCAAGAAAGAAACTGACTAATCGCGAGTGCGGTGGTTGTTAATGGTATTACGGCAAATTGATACGTTTCCATTAGCCTGGAAAATAGGGGATTAGTCGGTTGATTCAACGAAATATCCCTGAAAAGGATTTTTTCCTCGCGCCAATCCTCTTGGGCAAGGAAGTTTCGTAATTCGCTTACGCATTCGCAACGGACTTATCCTTGATCTCGCCTCCGCGAACTTTCCTGTATATCCATACCGTGGACTTAGTCTCGAGTAAAGCGCGAGAAGTGAACGAGTGAACGTGCAAGAGACGAGAATAGAGAGGATAGAAGAAAGTGAAGCATTTAATCGGCGTGTATTCTCCCCTTCCGCCTCGCATTCTATGCGATACGGCTCGTTGTATTCTCATTTTAGCATTCGCAGTTCCGTTTTAGCAAATTGCTTCCTCTATGATTATTTTAGTTTGCGTTTGGAAATGTTTCTCTTACGGAAAACATGATTTTCCGCCTGCGTACTGAATTTCTTAAAAACTTTATCCATTTAAAGACTAATATTAAACGGAATTAAAAGTTATTACGTGTTTTTAGCTCTATTTGAATAAATGGTCGATTGTGCCTTATATTAGAACTTTCTGAAATATAATTAAATTCGATATTACAGATGCTTACTTCAGTATTAAGGTATTAACGTCATTGGCAGAACTATATAGTGTATTTTTATTTACAGAAAATTTGCTGTCAAATAATTGATTTTTTAGACTTCATTAGTTTAAACTTATAATCTATTCCTTGTAAAAATTATATTACTTTTGGGAAAACCACTTTGGTTCATACCAATTTGTTGTATAATAATAGCATATTGCACATTATTCGCGTAGCATTAGAGGAATGAAATATGAAAATAAAAAATTAGCATGTACTTCTTCTAAGATGAAAAAATGGTATAATAGTCAGAAGAAATTAGAAAATTCATGAATGAAATAGATTTTTTATATTGTTTTATTTTATTTAATCTGCTTTTTAAGTCTCCAGGTTTAAAAATAATGAATTTGATCTCGTTTTAGCCTATAAAATATTCCGTCATCGCTGTTGCCTCTTCTTCAGACGAGAAAGTCGTTGTCCTTCCAGATGTTCAAGATATTCCCAAACTTTTTGTTATGGCTTCGCGAAATCGCTTTACGTGAAGCTCTTTTTACACAGGTCAAAGCACAATGTCCAATTTTTCTCATTGTTGAAACCGTCGATGAATATTCAATTTAAGAAGTATTCACTTGCATGAGTAGATGCTGCAAATGAACCTAGAGGTAATCGTAATTTTTTAACACAATGTCCCAACCATATAATCTAGAACTGTCCCTTGTTAAATTCTTAATGAGTTGATCTAATGAAAAAATTGAATAAACTAGATTCTACTTATCATTAAATATGAGACTCTTACTGTATAAATCAAATTACTAAAGTGAGGTCTCTTGTATATAATTAAAAAATATATATAACCAAAAATGTAAAGGTTACATCTAATATAAAAAATTGTATGCATCATACAATAGTACATTACAAATAGATAACTGTAGAAATGTATATAAAGTTCATGTTGAGCTTTCTAACTTTATACGGAGAGTTCTGTTTCTTATATCTGTCTTTGACTGAACAGGAAATAAGGTTTTATAATTTCATCTATAATGTGGTACAAGAAAATAACTAATAAAGCCATATGATGTTCTCCTAAATAGCAAGCCAAGTTTATATGAACTATTTTTTTAAACCTTCAACGATTGATAAGATCCTGCAGCGATTCTATTTACCCCTTCAAGTATTACAAAGAAAAGTAACGCAAAAGGCCGATAATGTAGTCATACATGAAAAATGATTAGAAAAAGAAATTTGTATATACTAATTTGTTATTTCTTTTATTTAATTCTTTAATTTATCTTATACATTTAATACGTAGTATGGTCTTTTTAATACTCTGTCCATATTGGTAAACGCCAATTTTGATGATGGCTGAAAGTCTATCAAACTTCTTGTCTTTTAAGGGCTAAATGAAGGACAGTGTACGCTAGTGTTCCAGGAGAAGTTAAAGAAACGTCCAAATGAAAAGCGAAGGGAGTTTACAGCCCGCGTACACTGAATCCAGGATCGATCCGATGCGGAAGAGGCATCGCAATGTCAAGTTCTACGGGCGGAAGAGGAATCGTCCGCGTAAGCGGGTTTCTATTACCGCGACGAGAGGAGAAAGAAAGTGGATGAAACGGCAATGAAATACAGTGCAACCGTGTGACCGTCTTCCGAAGCTACCTCATTCCTTGGAAGGCCACTTCTGTCCTCTTCAGGGACGCGAAGTTGCCTAGACTAATACACGGTAATCACAGAGTAGCTGACGAACACTCCACAAACTTGACCCCCTCGACGACATGAATGATTTAGCGAGAGAACAGAGGGCGGAGGGTCATTATTGTTATAAAGGGGAATGCATTTTACACGGCACGTGGCATAGACGGGACGCACAATATACACTACCGCTCAACAATTTAAAATCACTTTCTACACTGCGATCGCCATATCATTCGACTTCAGATGATACTACTTTTTGTGTAGATTTAAAAATTAATATTTTCTTTCTGTCTCGTTAGAAACAGAATATTTAAATGAACAGTTACTTTAATAATATTTACGCTGATGACGAACTATTTGAATTAACACATGACTTATGAGTTTTTTAAATCTATAATATGTGATCAGATGCTTATATAATTACCCAAGAAAAATAACAATATCTTCGCCTTAAATGTGCTTCCTATTCCCTAACAAAATTGTTAATAAAAAAAGGGAAGTTATTTCACATTCAAAGAGATTATCAGTATTTCACACGGTTGAACTTATATCAATCATATTCAACTAATTTATATATTATTCAATATGTTTTCAGGAGTCTTCATCTGAAATAGAAATATTCTCAATTATAAAAGGAATCAAATTTTTACTTTTAACATAAAATGTTAAGGAAAATAGAAATGTACGTATTCAGTCACATTTATTCTTTATAAAATCCAATCTTTCCTCGCCAAATGAACAATTCTAAATCGGCGAACAGTAGCATGGATACAGAGAAAAACTGATGAAACGAAGAAGCGCCATAGCCGAGTGGCGTTTAAAGTTCAGCCAAGTCGAAATTAGATTGATGAGTCCGATGAAAGGAGAGTTCATTCGACGACACAGTAGAATAAAATTTAGTACTATTGCCCGGTCCGATAATGCACTTACGGCGAAGATAAAACCTTCGGAATTCGATTAAGAATATAGTTTAAAGGCGGAAGAACAAAGGTCCGCGGGTTCGGGGAACGACTCGCCTGAATTATCGCGGCGAATTCCTCGTCGCCTGAAGGTGTTCTTTCGCCTCGTTTCATGAAATTCCTATCATAAGTCTCTTAGGTAAGTTGATTGGATTGGTCGGTCGCAGCGCGGCCGCATCTCGTAACCGTGTTTTCGAACGGCGAGACCCGGCCGAAATTTATCGTACGAGCCACCGTATATCGACGCTGCAGCTTAGATTTCGATTTGGCCGGAGCTTCAATCGAACGACGTCAATTTTCACGGGCCTCGTGAAACTTCAAATGTACAGGATGGATAGGACTTTATGAAATTCATGAGGAACGAGCACGCGTGACCCCCTGGCCAGATCACGCGGTATATTTCCTGGAAATCGTTCGAGTTGAGCGCAAGAAAATTTTCTCGGATTTTCCTATAAGCCGGGAACCTTCGGTCCAGCTTAGAAATTTCTCAGCCGGGGGAACGATACCGCAGGAAACTCGATTTCCATGCGTGGACCGTTGCAACTGTGGCCTTGTGCGGCGGTACGCTCGCGGGAAAGGAAAGAGGAAATGCAATTGTAAAGAAGAGGCTACTTACTGATACTGGTACGTCTTGGGAAGCGGTACGTTTCACTGCATGTTTCGGTGTCCGAGTAACCTGGGAACAGCCAATGAACACAACGAGATTTTAGTCTCTGTGGATCGTGGATATATTAATTTGAGTATTTAAATTCTTGTGAAATCGACGGAAACCATCGTTTAAGGAAAGCACATCAATGACGTTATTAGTGCATTCATAGTAAAGTGGGAGAAATGATATATTTTATGATGATGTATATTATTATGGCAATAATAATTCTAATGTTAATGGATTATTTAGTCTTTAAGAATTAAGAAGATGAAATTGGTGACAGGAATAAAAGAAAGTATTTACATGCGAAATTGATAAATAACTTCGTTCATTTATATGCACATTAGGCGAAAAATTAAGATAAAATTACGCGAAGTCTTAAGAAATGTGCGTTTGCAAGTTTTAGAAGAAATTATGAACTAATTGCTATGACTATATGATACTTTCAGTGTTAAATATCGAACTATCATTCTTAACGCAAACTTTTATAACTTTTAAGAGACGAAACCTGGGCAATTTAAACCTGCAATGCATTAAATAACGGGTCTAATCATACATGAACATAAAAGTACGTGTCGCGTCGGGCACACCATTTAGATTCATGTGTTATCATTTCTTAGTATGCTATTAAAGATACACCGAATTAAAGTTGTGAAGAATAACAATACGGTTTAATATGAAAGTGAATCAAATGAAATAAAAATAACATATCCTGTAATAATACTAGAACAATAAATCAATGAAAGTAATTTATTTTAAACTTTGAATAGAAATTTCCAAAGTATATTTGTCCAAGATTTAGCCCGACTTTTATTATTACATCTATATAAAGAAATGAATGTACTCCCGAAAGTATCTTTATAATTTTACTAATTATAAATGAGAAATATCTGAAATAAGTCATCTTGATCGTCCAAGTACTTCTATAATACCTATACCAATTGTTCGAAGTCTATTTATGTATGTATTCTGAGGTGTAACTAAGAATCCAAAATCGTACTGAGTTTTCGAATAGTCAAGACTCTGGATGATCGAAATCACGGAGAATAGTGATTCGATTAACACTAGATTTACGGAACCCGTCAATTTGACAAATATTGAATTTTTTAAACATTATTTAGTAACAGTTTAAGTTGATTTTCATTTGTGTGATTATGCGAATGCGTGTCGTGATACTCTGGTTTTTAATCTACAATTTTCGCAGTTTATATAGACGAGCACGTAGTTTCCTAGGAATAATAGAATAAAGTGTAAAATAAACGTCTGTAAATACAGTGTCAATCGTGGTTTGCCTTGCCGTATAATATAACCATATTTGTTCTGATCGAAAATGTCAAAGACTATCAAAATGATTTGTCCCATTACCCGTGAGAACACGGGATGAATGTAGCTCAGGGCAGACGCGGCACGATAAGACCTCCGAAAACGATCGTGACAGAGGGAAAGAAGTTCGCATTGATTCCAGCCAGAAGATGTCTGCATTCACAGCGGGACGTTACCATAGGTATTCGTAGGTTTCAGGGTGGCCAAGCAGCCGATACCCTTCTTTATCATTTTTACAACCGAGTAGGAGGTCGTGGCAGAGGCGTCCGCATATTTATTCAACCGTGCCGGCAATAAAACACAGGCTCGCGCGCATATCCGGTTGTTTTCTCGGACGGTATAATATTTCGTTTAGGAATTCCGAGACAGTTAGGTGTAAGAGAGAAGAGCGAGACGGAGGCGCGTGCGAAGCTATGTCTGATTTAATACGAAAATAGAGCGAGATCGTATCGCGTCTGTCTGGAAATTTGACGAAGGCACCGACAAACTGTTCCTAGTAAATTCATTGGGAAACTTCACGAAGCTGAACGCTTCTTCCTCTGTCTACCAACCAGTTTGCCGAAGATATTCAATTTAACAGAAAATTTCGCCGACAACGGCGTGTTACGTTATTCCATAACTTAGAAATAAGTAATAATGGAATGACTTCGTCTGGTGTGGTAAGGTTACTTGGAAAATGATCTCCTTTTTAAGTAAACGACTTCGAATTCGTCTCGAGTTACTTAGTTTAAGGGAAATGTAGCTACTACATGTAGAGAAATCTTTAATTAGTTCGGTGCAAGTCTATGAATATGCTTTTTACCTGCACTACTTGTTAATTAAAGCTATCATAACTCTATAACAATGTTCCAAGCAAGATTATACCAGCCATTTTATAAATTATTTAAAAACAAAAGAAAATTTTATCGTTTGCCGATATTTAATATTATATAAAAATTCTACCGTGTTGATAACAATATCTTTCCACAGTTTTAAAGTTTGCCGATAACTTGAATGTTTTGATTAAAGATTAACTTTTTGTACGCAATAATATTGATAAAAAAACTTAAGAGATACATCTACTTGTATACTTTTACTTTCATTGAATTTAAAATAATTACATTTATTATTTGTTTTGTTTAGCAACCTTTTCCCGCCTGTGAGTACGCGTACCTATTTAAAATATTTATTTGTGTATCGTGGTAAAAAAAGTAAAAATACGTAAACAGACGAAATATAGTTGAAGTAGAACAAAGTTATCATCAAAACACTAGTAATTAACTGTATTTTACTTAAGTTATAGTAAACATTGCCAATATTGTATTTAAATGCTTCATTTTCCTCCCTTTTTACAGAGAACTAATCCCGTAAGCCTATAAAACTATAAACGTAACAATTCTCGCACAATAAACTTACAATTTCATGAATTTGAAAACAATTTAATTCTGAATCAATATACAATTGGAGGGATCACCGATATGGAATGAGGGTTAAGAGAATCCAAGAATATTGACTAGCCTTGCAAATTTAATAATAGAAAAAGTTTCTAGTGTTAGAAATTTAACAAGAAACTCTGGCTCTGACCGCATTCTACGCGGCTTCTGAAGTTTCCCATCTTCCGTTGTTCGGTTCAAGCATTCAAGTGGAGATCGTTGCAATCTCAGCCAAAAGGATTCCATAGGGAATCGATATGCGAATATCGGTTACGGGTTGGAGGGCTTTGAACGATGAAAGTTGATTTTATCGTTGCGTATTACAATATTACAAATTGAAATCATTTAGCCAATAAAATGTTTAAACTCCAACCAAGCAGTCCAATATACGTATGTTTTGATGGGTATTGATCAAATATCAGTATAATTAATTATTATTTATAATTAAAAGGAATTATTTTATGACTAGTCGGTAATTTTGTCTTTATTGAGGAAGTAGGAATTAATTAAATGAAGAGTTTTATTAAAATGGATATTAACACCAATTTAATCTGAAATAGCAGGATTTAACAATATTAGACAGTAATTAAATATATAGATTAAATTGAAATTCCCAGGAAATATAAAATTGTCTTGTTTCATAAAAAAAATTAATGATGGCTTTTAGTTTTTTCAATATATTAGATATCGAAAAAAGTTCGTGCGTATTCTTAAATAAAAATTTATACACAAACAACGTTTTTGTAAAATTATTTTAGTTTATTTGATAGCAACGGCATACACAAAACTTGCTACTAATACTAATTTCATTCATTGAACGAGTGAAATATTAATTGAAATCGGACCTCAATTCAAGTACCTTTTCCGGTACCTAACAATATAAAAAATGGACCATACATTTTTTCCCAGTATTTTCATGAGAAATCTAAAGAACAAATGTAACAGAACAAATATCTACAAACTTCTATGATCAATGCCATAGAATATATTAAGCTTATATATTTAGAGTATTTTCCAACAAACAAAGTTATCTTCGCCAATACTTCATTACACGATACGCAAGCAACTATAAAAGAAGATACAATATTGTCCAACAAAAGAATCGCCAAACGAAGAAAAATCATACACCTATTAATTTATTTTCTTACATTTTCGTACTGAACGTGCTAGATTGAAACCCAAGAGTGATACTACTGAGATGTACCTATTCCGTGAGCTATTCGGTACCCAAACAAATATCTAGCAGCTCATAGTTTAACCCGGAATCCAGCGTTCACAATCTACCACTGCTCCTGCCCTCTGCTCTTCTCCTCCTTCTCGAAGGAAGAAAATCATTCTGAGTCCAGCTTTGTTTCACACCCTTCGGGTGTTCCAGCGGGGGCGCATAGACGGACGGAAGTGTGGACGCGGAGACGCAAAGACAAATAGGCAGCCAGGAAGCAAGCTATCGCGGTACAGTAATCCCAAGCGTGTTTTCTGGGTCGGTTGCACCCTGGATTGCGGTTCCCAGGTCGCATTGTCTCCGCGAAATACGGGCGCGGAAGAAACGAAAATTATGCCTCCGCGCCCGCCCCGCAGCCGCCGTTCGCGAAATGCTTTATTTCCTTCGCCGGTCTAGGAGTTTCCTCTTTCACGCTTCCCCCAGCCCTCCCTTCGTGATCCATTCAGTTTCTCTTTTTGTCTGGGAACGAGAGAAATGAGAGAGACCAAGAAGGGGGGGGGGAGCGGTGACGACGAGGTCATTTGCCTTTTACGTCGAGTCATAAAGGGCTGAGACGCAACGTTGTCTCCGCGAGCGGAGGCTCGAAAAGCAAAACAGGGACAGACGGAATGGACACGGAGCACGGAGAACCGATGCAACGAAGGGTAACGGGGTGAAACGTTTATGGGAGAAGAGACGCGAACTCTCCCACCCGATGCTAGACGCTGACACGCGCTCTGTCTATTTGCCGCGGAAGAGTTAAGACGTCGAATGATAGACGATGTTAGGTACAGAAAAGCTCGAGCGACGACGGGACACAAGGATGTAGGAACGGGATGTAAGTCGCGTGCCAACCAGCTCGCGGATGAGCGTTTTTTTCACTACTCTGTGGCGGCTCTAAAATTAAGCAAAAAAGGTGAAAGGAATGGAGGAAAAGAAAAGGAGGGAAGGAGAATGGCGTTCCGCTTGGGAATCTGCTAGTGGACTAACAATAAGTAATAGCGAGAAAGGCGAGTAAATCTCGTAGCCATCTAGTAGTAAATGTAGAAAGTGCCATCATAACCTATTCTGAACCAGTAGCACACGCATTT